GATGACTGGTTCGAAGGCTGACTTGGTCCTGACAATGATTTAAATGCTCCGTATAATAAGGGCAGCAGTCTCGAAGGGGAAAACAATGTACGCATTCTTCACTTAGCGACAGTGCAACCACGACTAAATGTAAAAATTGTTATTTTCTTTGATTCTTGGTAAGTAATTTTGATTCTTGGCCCATAATCCATAAAAAAATTTTTTTTAATGCATGGTTTTTCCACTGTTGTGGAAATGTTTGACTGACAATTGACACGTTTCGCAACTAGCAACGGCAGCATCATCAGAACTAAATAGATAAAGAACTGAAAAGTCAACATTCTGGCACAATTGCGAAGCATTAATAACATAATTCTGAGTGACAGCTCTGTGCGAGTCAAGTGAGAAATTACGCCTTTCATAACAGATTACTGCTGGTCGTCGATGTCAGCGACACATGGGCCGAAAACATCAAACAGTCGCTTAGGACCATGCAGCACCGAAGTCATGCAATTCTGAAGATCGACCGAATTTGGTCCAAACTGTCAGTTTCTAGTTTCAAAATGATTGCAAGTAAAAAATCTGTGCATTGTTTTCCTGTCTGCGGTATTTCAATGCACCTCTCCATCCCTGACATGAAGAACTACTGTAGCGAAGTCTCTGAATTTCTGATTTAATGGCTTTGAGCGCAAAACAAGGCTGATGATTGATGTTAAACAAAGCTTTATTGCACAAGTGGTACATTGATAATGAGAGAGAGAACCAGACGATCGGAAATTCGGTGACTACTATAAATTGAATTGGAAGATGGACGTAGGCGGCTGAGCTGCGAATTGCAAGTGTTCTAATAGACAATCACATGTTCTTCAAGATATCCCAAATGGCGGTTAAATCCGGCAATGAATTTGTATGTTTTCGGTGATTTGCCAGATATGAACACATTTTATTACAGAATTACATTCATATTTCCACTTGCACAACAAATAAGTCAGGTGACTGAGAAAAAAATGGAACGGCGCAGATTAAATAACATCTGGGAACCGAAACGCTAATTTTGTACTGTATCATAACCGAAATTTCAGTCGAAGTTCGAGAGTACGACCGGCCACGCATGTCGTTGCATTGGTGAGGACGAGTAAGATCCGATGGTCAGACGTTTTTTGACAGCACTAAGCGAAAGCGGTCACCACCACCGTTACTTGCATGTGTGCAGCTCCACTTTGGTATGGCAGGTTTTGCAGACCACCCTACAGCACCAGAGAAATTTACAGTGGCACTTTTCGCTGATGACTCGCTTGAACGTGTTGTAGCCGCGTCCACAGCACAGCAGTTCGCAGCTGCTCATACCGCGACCAGTTTTGTTGCATTCCCTTCCTTCTGTGCCGATGATTCCCGTTTCGAGGTTCGACTTACAGTAATCCGGCGATTCGTCAATGTACACCAGATCCATCTGAGACGCCTTTTTTTTCTTGCCGTTTTTCATCAACTGCAGATTGCCACGTTTGTTCACCTTCACTCGCACCGCCTTGTCGTAACGGTCGAACAGCACTTCGCTGACCTCGCCTAAGGTCGGTGCTTGTTTCCAGCACGTTCTCAAACTGCACGATCCGCTTACACCGTGGCATTTGCATGTTACCTTTGACCTCTTCTTTACAACCTAAAAATGTAAATTATGATTTAAATAATTACAAGTGACGGGTGATAAAAAGCACGTAATCCGACAGATCGACTTCCGACTTTGAAACAACAGAAGTTGACAGAAACAGGTCACAGAAACTGTATACCTTG